CCCATTCATTCAAATCAGGTGTGTCAAAGCAGGGAAACAACTAAAACATGCTAGGTGGTGTTCCTCAAGGACCAGGGTTGGGAACCACAAATTTTTAACCACTGTCTTATTTTTTAAGATTTTAATCAAACCAAAACACCAACATTCTCCTAAAAAAAACAGCTTTCTGCTAAGCTGAAATGTTCAATTTTAAACTGAATTCCCACCAGTCTGCTGTAAATCTGCTGTTCTGGAGCTTCATTAGCAACAAGCACACTCAGTGACACCTGATCCTGTTAATCTGTGATCAAACTCCACATGCAGGCAGGACATCAGGCCCGGTTCAGCTGCTCGAGTCATGCAGATATTTGGATCATTTCAGCAGCAGTTTAAAATACAAACATTATGGCAGAAACACAATGTGATTTATTAGTGCTGTAAAGACTGGCAGACCTGTGACCTTTGCAGTTTATTTTCATGACATGTTTCTGTTGAAAAGCTGTGAAATATTTTCTTTCTCTTAAAACAGAGCAATAAATAACTTTAAGGAGCATTAGCTTCCTCTTGTGGTCATTTTGTGTCACCACTTAATAAATTGGACTGATATTTATTTTTTAAAGCCCTATCTGCTTCTCATGAACTAGAGTACAGTTGACCTCGTTTATCGCGGGGGTTAGGTTCAAGCCCCCCACCCCTACACAATAAGTGAAAAACTGCGAAGTAGGGACGCTATGTTTATTTTAGTATTTATATATAAAACCCTTCTCACACTCTTGCAATGTTATAAACCAGGGGTCTGCAACCTGCGGCTCTGGAGCCACATGCGGCCCTTTGGTCCCTCTGCAGCGGCTCTTTCAAGCTTTGACCAACACTACCATAAAACTGAATTTTATTGGTTATACAAATAAAAAAAGGATTAGTTCAAATAGTTTTCCTGTCATTTCTTTTGCAAACATGTGACCCCAGATTAAAACATACTTACTTTAACTTGATGCTTTATTTCTTTATGTGAAGAACTGTATAGTTTACAGATTTTTTTAAATTAAAAAAACAAGGGGAAAACTAATTCTAAAACTAATAACCCTGTTCTAAACTCTTAAACCGACGTCATTTTAACAACATACTTATACCATATATAGCTACAAAATTTTACTCAACAGCAGCGTGTCCCCACTCGGAACTCCTCGTCGGCCAATTGAAAGAGCTGAGCTTCAGATGGATCATCGGCTGTGCGCATCTGCTTAGAGGTCCACGTGGGCAAGATTTCAAGATTCACCGATGGGTCTGGAAGTCTGGCCCTGCTCCTGTTCTGGTCCGGTGGGTTCAGTGCAGCTTCTCTGCATCCACTGGGTGCCGATCAAATCAAAACTTTACTTCGTTTTTCAGCAGAAGAAAATGTGGTCTTTATAAGAGGAAATACAGTGGAGGTGTACGGAGAGAAAACTACAAATGGCGGCGCTTATCTGAAGTATTTTACTTTTTCGTAAACTTTTTACCGTAAAGTACTGTACCCCAATCACGTAATATTAAAGTTAACTATCATGTGGCCTGTACAATTATTTTGTACATTATGGACTGTACGTTCACAAACAGCGATAGAGCGAGTCCGCAAAAGTTGAACTGCAAAGCAGTGAGGGATTACTGAAATGCAAAATATCACAAGTTAATAATAATAATGATAAATTAAAAGATGGGGATAAAAAAGATGGAAATATACAAATGCAGTTCAGCAGACAGCATCAATGTTTGATTATATAATCAAACAAGTCATTAACATATTAAATCATCAATATAAAATATTTGTAAAGCTGCTTCTTTTCTGCATAGATTAATATCTTTGGGTAATGTTTTGTTATAAAAATCTGTTTTTGTTCAGGCTTTGAAACCAAATTCAGTCAATTCAAGCTGAACACCTGAGAATCAAGAAAACTAAACTGTTATGATAAATAAAAATCACATTTTGGTGAATGCAAGCCAGTGGGAAGCAGGGGTGCTAAAGGTGGAGTTCCACTTGTGGATGCCAAACGACACGCGTGCCCAAATAGATAATTAATAAAACTACTGGGGGGAACAGGTCACATTAGTGCTACTGGTTTGTTTAAATTTGAATATCATTTTGAAATGTTGCATCATAAACTGGAGCTGTTAATATTAATGTGTGCACAGTCTTAAAATTTTAAAGGATGGTGCATTCACATACCTGTAAACTGAAAGCTGGCAGCAAACGTTCTAACGTTTCATTTCAGATAATGCAACAAGTGAGGCCAACATGCATTTCACTATATATTATGTTTTCCATATTGGTGTTAAAGATCATACAAATTCCCTTCAAAATTGTCCCAAGTCTGCAATTGACTCACAAATCCAAGAAATAAAAGAGACAGTCCACCAGAAAACACTCCCAGAATCAAATTTATTACCTTTTTTTTGTCTTTAAATAAACAATCATTCCACGTCTGAATACATTGACCATCAAACTGAACATTCAGTTCACTTGATTCTCTTTTTATAAAGTTCTGAAGTTACAAAAATATCAACTTGGTTAGAAAAATAATCACCTTTAGTATCTTTCAAGTGCAAAAGCATGAAATGCAACAGCAAAATAAAACACAATGCTTTCAGCTCATTAAATACAAACAACTTCGCATTTTATTTGCTTCCCAATCACCAGTTTTTGTTTTTTTTAAACAAGGGGCATTTTCTGTTCCCTTTAATTTGAAAACAATAATTCAGATAAACAACTTCTTATTTAGGAAAGTGTAAATAATTATTTACATGTCATGTTGAATTGACGCCAAACTAATTACCGTATTTTTCAGACTATAAGGCGCACCAGATTATAAGGTGCAATAAGTGAAACTAAAACATTTTGACAGATTTTTGAGCACCGTGTGCCACATAAAATCGGTTCGATATCAGTAAGCACAACCAGAATTAATACATAATGCTCACCGGATTATATGGCTCACTGTTGATTTTTGAAACAATTAAAGGATTTTAAGTGCAACTTATAGTCTGAAAAATACGGTAACCACCTGAAATGTAGAAAACCGAGTAGTTAGGCTGCTGAGGGTCTAAACAGGAAACAAAAACAACAAACTCTCAGACAAACATATGAAGCTCCACGTCCTGCACAAACACCAGTGGCAAAAAACACAAACTAAATTTGGAAATCACTGGAATGAAATGAGTTTGAATCCGAAGTTGTATTTTCTTTAGAAATCATGGTTTTTGTTCCTGTTCAATTCTGGGATAATTAATTCAAATGATTTAATTCGAGTTCCTGCTGCTGGAATTTCTGAAACAGCAGAGTTTTATTATTTTCTGTTATTACAGGAACGTAAAGTATTTGTTCTAAATGTTTAAATTACATTCTAAATAATTTAAACATTTTTAAAAAGTAATGAAGCTTCCTTGTATTCTTTAAAAACAGGAAACTGTTTTACATCAACTTGACCTTATTTTGGGGAAAAATGTCAAATAGTCAGAAACCTCATCTTCCTCCTGAATCAACTCATATTTCAGAAAACAGTTTGACGCTATGAAAAGTGCTAAATACAAAATACAACATGTCAAAATAAACTTAAAAAAACAGTTACTTTTGATTTGTTGTAAAAAAAATAAATGTGCGTTAGAAGATACAATATTAGACATTTAGGGCACAAATAAACACATCCTCTTCTTCTATGTGCAGTAGTTTTAGAGTTGATTTGTACAAAAACCTTGCTGAAATCAGAGTATGATATGGCCCAGTACATAACTGGTAAGTACTGGTACAAATTTAAAGAGCCTGTGAGTAACATAACAGTGCAGTGTCTGTAGGCATCAGGTATGTGTAAAGTAAGTATCCATGTATTATCTGGTAAGTAGCTAGTAAGTAAACATCATTTACAGGGAACAAGTCACTTCATAATACAGCCCAATCCAAAGTACGAGTCTGGTACATTCCAGGTCTGAACCCAGCACATACCAGGTATGTACACAGTAAGTACCTGATAAGTACCAAGTAAGTAGCTGATAAGCAAGTGGTAAGTACCAAGTACTTACTTGGTAAGTAGCTGGCATGTAAATGAAATATGTAATTTTATAATAGAACTTAACCCCCGTAAGAACCAGTAATGAAACTGGTATATCCCAAGTACATTCCCAGAACGTACCCGGCAAATATCAAATCTGTGCCCAGTTAATTTTCGGCACGCACAAAGTCTGTACCAAGTACATATCTGGCATGTACCAGCTCTGTACACAGCAAGTACCAAATTTGTACTCTGCAAGAACCCAGTACCTACCAGGTCTGTCCCCAACAAGTACCCAGGAAGTATCGGATACATATCTGATACATATACGGGAAGTACCATCAGGTATGTACCAGGTATGTAGCAGATTAGTAGCCAGTATGTAAATCGTACTTACAAGATACACAGCCAGTAAGTTCAGGGTAAAGTCACTTCATTATGGAGCCCAGTCCCTTTAATTACCCAGTATGTACTGGGCAGTGTTATGTACTGCTACTAAGATACAAAATGAAGGATTTCCCTTTTTAGCACCATCATCTGATCTTAAAACTACTATAATCTTAATAAATACCAGCACAGTACTCTGCATTTAATATTATATTCAGTATTTTACAATCTGCTGTTAAGAAAATATGTTATCAACCGTTCCCTCTGAGGAGAGTTTGAATGTTAGAAAATTATTTTAATTTGTTAGTGCCCTCAACAAGTCACGGTTCAGTGATCTCACTTCACCTGCAGTGTTTTAAAGTTCATCTCAAACACAGACGAAACGTAAAAAAAAATATTTATAGCATCATTTCAGCAGCTCCATCATTTATATTCCAAAGAGTTGCTCTTCAAGGTACAATAAAAACTTTAAAATGATAAAAAGTGCAGTAATGATACGTCTGTATGCAAATGTCGTGAGGATTTCCAACACGTCCAGAAGAGGGTGGTGTGTCACTGTCTGATGAAATCAGCGGTGATGAACCAACTAACATTCAACAAGACCCTCACTGAGAGCTGTTGGTTGGATAATGTTCTGCCTTCCCTCTGCTGGGCGTCACAGGTTTGGGTTCCACACGCAGTCACTTCCTGTTTGATTCTACGTGGTGGACTCATGTTGGATCTGGATGTAGCAGGCCTGCAGCAGGAACACAAACACATTCACGCATGTGCACTGAACCGAACCGAACCACAGACGAGTTAACTGAGAGATCGATCAATGACCGGTAAACGTGATCATTTCCAGATCTGTAACAAAACACGGTGGAAGGAAGTCATTTCTGAAGAACTGAAAGATCAAGATTAAAAACTATATCCTTTAAACTTGATGCCAAATGTTTTATAACTCAACATTGTTCAACCTCGGTAAGAGTATACATATGTGTACTTGTTCTCAATGACGTTTAAAGCTTTGAAAGTAGCGTTTGTTGCTCTGGCCAATCACAGACTGTATTTTATTCTGCAAACTGTAATTCTTCTAAATCACAGTACCGTAGTCCCTCGTTTAACACGGGGGATCCGTACCCTGAAACCCCGCGATAAGTGAAAAACCGCTAAGTAGGAATAGTTTTACAAGTAGTAAGTAGTAGTTTATTTTAGTATTTATATATATATTTGTATAAAGACGCTTTAAACCCTTCCCACATTCTTGCAATATTCTAAACAACGTTTCTAAACTCTAAATGTTCTAAAAGAGCACAGCATGTCACGATCTCAGCTCTCAGCCACGGCTGCACGCTGCGCTCTCGGCCACGCCCACTTCTCCACTGCAGAACGGAGATCGACTGAGGAGGAAGGAGGAGCTGCAGGAGGACGTTTCTCCTGCAGCTGTGGGCTGCACACAGGTGTAGCAGGTGCTAAATAATTTAAAATAATTAATTTTAAATAAAAAATCCATGCCGATCGTGCGGTTCATCCATTAATCAGCCAACTATGTGTTATGTCCAATCTTATTTTGAAAAACCGCGATAGAGCGAGTGTTCGAAAAACTAACTGCCAAGTAGCGAGAGACTACTGTAACCTTGGTGCTTAAACACAAAGAAACGAGAAAACATTTAATCAAAGGTGTCACAGAAACTATAGCATGCATACAGTTTATTGTGAGTATTAAAAGACCGGCACAGCAAGTTGGGGATTTTACGACAACTAAGAGATGCGAGAGAGAAACCATTGAAATCAATTGAAAAAACAAAAGCAACTTTAAAGAGGAGGGGGTCTCAGGGTTCAGCTTTTCAATGCCTACAAAAGAGAACTAACCATACTCGGCCGTTTCATACTTTCATGTGCGTGAGTAAAACTTTTCTTTAGTGAACCAGGCTAAGGTCCTGTTTACATGACAACGTTTTTAGGTAAAACCGAGCATTTCTGCTGTGTTTTGGCTGTTTGTTTACACGGCAACGACAGATGTTTTCTCACAATCCAGGTCCCAGAGTGGAGGTTTTCAGAAACGCCTAGCATCAATGTAAAACTGTGCACGTGCACTACAGACGGCTGCTGTCAATAGTTTTTCTGCGCTTCGTGAGCAGATGAACATCAGTAACAATGGCGGACAGCAGAGTGCTGTTTGTGCGTGTAAAAGCAGCCCAAAACTCCTCCTCGATCAAAACGAACCATTTTGGATGCAACTGTTTTTAAGCTCGAGGCTGAAGTGTCTGCGTGCACGCACTTGTCATTGAAATACAGAAATCCCAGCGCCAGCTAGTGACCTGGCATGGAAACTACAGTGGATTCAACAAGCATAGCATAACGGGGTAAACATGAGACTTCTGCACAATAAACATGAGAAAAACACGTGTTTCCAGAGATCTTTCATGTGTAAACAGGGTCTGGGTGTGAAGATCTATCAGTTGAAATGTTCAATAATCATAACGTTTTATTTTCTGGATGTAAAGCAGCAACTACAAGACTTTAAGGCCATATTCTTTTACTTATTTGTGGATGCAACAATGTGAATTTTATCATAGGAAGAGAGGCTGAACTAAACTTTTCCTGACAAGCCTGCGCTCAAGTTGTGAAGGCAACAGTGCAGATTGTAATTATTCACAAACAGCTCTGTTCTGTGACAGGACTTTCCTCTGCATGCATGAATAACACTCCAGTTAAGTCAAGACACAATGCTCCATCCAGAGCAGAGATTCTGTTTGTTGGCAGCACAGTTTGAAGCACATATCCCTCTTTGTGAAGGCTTCATCAATTAGACGACGACAAAAGATCCTAACTGGTACCCGCAAAAGACATAAAATCGACAACTCTGGGTTTAAGTATAGCGTTCTCCCACCTTTAATGTTGTGAACATCAGTCCCATCTCTCCATGCTGAATGTTGGGGTCCATGAGGTCTTCAATCAGGCTAACTTCAGCTCCCAGGTTCCTGATCCTGAAAAGCAGAGCAGCAAAACCTCTTGAGGCTTCACAAGCACTTCGGATGACAATGACAGTCAGAAATATTTACAGCGACAACAAAAGTGTCTGGATGTGACAAAAATACCAGCAGGAGTCAAAAAGACGTTTAATTAAAAAAAAATCACCACACACCTTGCTCTGAGCACCACATACAGGAAGAGCGGGAACAGATCATCCATGCACCACAAGAAAGCTCCATCCAGGAAAGGTTTCACCTCCAGAGTGAGCTCCTCAAACGACTTCTGGATCACAACGAGCTTGTCTGAAGGTGTGAAGGTGGTGCTGCGTAAGAAAAACAAAACAACAAAGTGTTTTAATTTTAATATGAATGTGGAAACATTACATTTTATCTAAGTTTTGTTGATTAATTTATTATATTATTAGACCTTTTTATGAATTGTGGCAAACTGTGATTACAAATCACAAGGTTTTTTTTCTACCACTTTATAAAACAGCAAATTAATTTAATAGTTCATCTCATCTGGACTAAGAAGTGCCTGACAGGCATTGATGAGGGCTAAATTTACCCATAAAAAAAAAAGTTTGTTCAAAGTCTATCAGCTAAATCCTTAATCATGACCCCCCTGTCTCCAGATCTGCAGTCAAACTTCACAGACGTTACTGTTTATGTTGTGTAAGTTGAATTTGTTGCCGACAGGAAACACAAAAACCACCTGATCTGCTGAAGAGTCTCAACGGCAGAAATAAAACAGACATCTTCACTGCTGGACACGATCTGTGATGACAAACAGTTAAACAGGGAAAACGCAAAATAAATGCCGTGCATGAGCACTGGAAACCAATGGAAGTGATTCAAGATGATTTTAGAAACGCTGAGAAGGTATTTACCTGCTTTTTCTCTCCAAGATTCGAAATCCAGTGAGGCCAAAACTTCCTATGACAGAAAAAAATATATATATTCTCAATATCAATGTGTTAAATTAGTTAAATTAGTATGTTAGAAGCAAAAACATACAAATAATTAAACATGTATACACTGTGTTTATGTTTGTTCCACGTGCACGCACTCACTCCTGCACTCCCAGAAAGCTGAGCAGTGATTGGTCGGCTTGTTTGTTGAGTCGGAGGATGTGCTCCCAGTACTGTACCTCCTCCTGCTCCTTCTGCAGGCAGTAGAGGGTGAAGAGAGGAGGATAGAGTCGAGGCAGCAGCACAGGGAGGAGCAGAGAGGAGCAGCTCACCACCACAACACTGATGGAGGAGACACGATGAAGAACAAATCTGTAGGTCTTATTTGTTTGATAAAAAAGCTCGTTGACACTGACCCGTGTTCTGGTCTGTTCGAGTTGTGTCTGACTTCAGATGAGGCGAGATTAGAGGCTTCAGGGATAATGCCGCCATCTTCTGGTAACCCTGGAAACAAAAACCTGTAGGCAAAAGAGTGCTAATATCAAGTAAACTAGAGAAATTGCATTTCCTGCGAAAATGCAGTGTGAATGCTTTTTGCTGAAGAACTTGCTGAAAAACAGCTTAAATTAGCAAAAAAAAAAAAAAGAAAAAGCTGAAATGTAGCTGAAATAAAAGAACAAGCTTAAATTAGGAAAAGAAAACAGAAAGAGCACATATTTACTGAGTTAGGCTGAAAGAAGCATAAAAAAGCAACAAAAAGTGGAAATCATCTGAAAAAAGCCGAAATTAGAAGAAAAAACAGCTGAAAAGTAGCTAAAAAGGCAGAAAGAAGCTTAAATTACCAGACGGAAGTGGACAGCAAATTTTTGCTGAATTAGGCTGAAAAAAGTTTGAGTGCAAAAAATGTGGAATAAGCTGAAAAAGCTAAAATTAGCATAAAACAGCTACATAGTAGCTGAAATAACTGAAACTAGCTGAAATAAGCTGAATGGTGCATAACAAGCTGAAATGAGCAGTAAGAAGTTATTTAGGCTGAAAGAAGCAGGAATTATGAAAAACTTAATATTATGCGAAAATGGATGAAATTAGCTAAATGCTAAAAAGGTAGCTGGAAAGGTAGAACAAGCTCCAATTTGCAGAAGAAAGAGTATATATTTGCTGAATTAGGTTGAAAGAAGCAGAAATGAGCACAAAAAGTGGAATTTATCTGAAAAAGATTAAATTAGCAAAAAAAACAGCTGAAGAGTAGCTAAAAAAGCCGTAAGAAGCTTTAATTTAAAGAAGGAAGTGGAGAGAGAGCACATTTTTGCTAAATAAGGATGAAAAAAGTTGAAATGAGTGCCAAAAATTTAGAATTAGATGAAAATGCTAACATTAGCATAAAAGCAGCTAAATAGTATCTGAAATATCATAAAGCTGAAACTTGAAGAAATAAGCTGAAAGGAGGATAACAAGCTGAAATTAGCAGAAAGTAGCTGAACAGTTTTAATTTGCACAAAGAAGCCGAAAGAAGCTGAACCAGAACAAAATATAAAAGGAGCAGTAAAAGGTTGTAAACAGATCTAAAGATTTGAAGGATGTAAAATGAGATCACTTAATTTTCTATGAGAAGAAAAAAAAATGGCAGAAAAGGCAAAAAATTTCAAAAAGCTAAAGTTGCACCAATACCAAAAGTCATAGCTGAATTATCCTGAAAGAGCTGAACGTTTTGATTTATGATTTGTTGAAATAGCTTGAAAACTGCAGGACAAGACTAGCACCAAAAAAATGTACAGAAGAAAAATGGATCACAATAGTGTGAATGCTTCATAAACATTCACACTATTAAACATATTAGATTTCCACATGTAATTCTGTTAAACTCCTGTACGGTCTAAAATAACTACAGTGAAAGGATGAGGCACTGAGAGGTTTTTATAGACTTCAGATCTTTTCAGCAGATTAGCTCCTTGTTTTATTTTTATTTATTTTTTTACCTTCAATTAACCAGAATGGCTTATTATTTCTTATTTTGTTATGTGGTCTTAATAAATAGTTATATACTAATAAGTAGATTTTAGACATGAGTTGCTTTTTTATTCATTTTTTAATTCAGTTCAAGTAGAAAAAAGCTCAAAGAAGAATGTTTGCTGATTCATCTAATACAAAATTGGAACAACAAAGTTCATGCTCAATCATCCAGGTATCAAATCCAATAATTCTCAGTCAGGTCATCTGCAATTGGAAATAATAATAATAATATAAAACAGCCCATAAGTCAAGAAATAAACATGTCTAAACATCAGACAACCATTAATCCGATTTCTTTATCTGCTGTAGACGATGTTTTACATCTACCGCTCGTCATTCTCTCCTATTTTTGTCCACTTGTGTTAATTTATTTAGGACAAACTACAGGCCCTGCTGCCATGGCTGGGCACTAAGACTGAACAGTAACGCAGCAGTGAAAAGCTGACCTGACCCAAACACCTGAGGAGAAGAACCTACCTGATGATGCTGTAGAAGTGTGCGAGGTAGGCCTGGAGCTCCTGGACCGCCTGTTGGAGCAGCCTGCGATTTGATCCCACGCCTACGTAGGTCATCCTGTAGGCTGTCACCAGCGTCTCCACCAACCAGCCCAGAGGATGGTGGGGGCCGTCACATGCCTAACACGCAACCACAACCACAGACAAACATCATTACCCATTATTATTATTAATATTATTGTTGTTGTTAACAAATCAAATGTAAAGAAACTGACAGTGGGGTACCTTGGTGAGGTATCTCCTTATGTTGTAGTAATTTGAAGAGGTGACCGGCTCGCCATACTGAGGGATAAACTCCAAACGCTCCAGAACTTTGCTCTGAGACTTGCTGAGATTAGGACTACACATACACACACATTGTTGTTTGTATGTCAAGAATCATCTGATGTTCAGGTGGTAAAGAGAAATAGAATTTGATGAAACCCAGACAAAGTAATCGCTGCATGTACATCTACAACCCAATTCAAGATGGCCACTTCACTGTTTTCATGTAATTTTATGTCGCCAACAGTCACAGGGATACTACTTTTAAAGTGCGTCCACCTTTGTCTGCGTGCCGTTGCTATGATGACGGCAATGTTCTCCCAGGCCTTGGTCCTCTCTCCTCTCCCAGCCTCGTCGCAGCCGAGTCGAGCCCAACATTCATCGAACACACAGATCCACCTCTGACCCGCAGGCACCACATACTGACCCAACCTGATGCAAACGCAAAACAATTAACATTGAAAACAAAATATAATCCTCTGCACATGAACTAAGTGATTGAAGCTGCATCATAAATCATTTGAGGATATAGTTTAAAAGAATAAAACTCACTGTAGGTTGTTTTTGTTTTCGCACTCATCAGTGTTGGGTTTGGTGTACGTTCCAACTACTTTCAGGCCCGTTCTCCACTCTCCGGTGAACATACCATCCAGACAGTCACCGTTGGCCAGGGTCAAAACACCCTAAAGATAAGGAAGCACAGGCATAACTAAATTATTTAAAATAACTTCAAGTTGTCTAATAATGTGCTCTTCACCAATAACCACCAATAACTTTGCGACCAAGTGACATACCAATAATTTGTAATTTAGTAATCACCGTACTTTTCGCCATACAAAACACATCTTTTTGCATAAATTTGCATGCCCTGCTACTTATATGGTGAAGCAACTTATTTACGTTTTTTTCCCCATATTTATAACCTAATTTTTGACTGAGATCTGACAATTTCATTCATTCTGACATGGAAAATATTGAACACTACCACTTTCAGCCACTAGAGGGCCCTCAACCCATATGGAAAGTCAAGTTAGAGCTGTCATTTCTAATCCGGAGCCTGGCCCCACCCGACCCAGATTCAGACCGGTCCGGGCCATAATAACGTGCGGGCTAGGTTGGTGTCAGGCTTTTGATTGCATCAGCGGACGCGTGCGACCGATGATCCAATTACATGCCAACATGGCTTGCCATACAGTCACCAGCCATTTGACTACGCGCTGACCGGCCTTGAAAGAGGTAAAAAGTTCAGTTAAGCTTCAGATGAACTACTGCCAGCGATCCATCAGCCCAAATGGAAGCTCATTCAGCCGCAGCACTCAGCAGATATGCGTGGCCGACGACACAAACAGGTGAGATCATAAAATATCCGACATGTCAAAGCAGGATTCAACGCAGGCAGAAGCAGGGGAAGCATTTAATGCACTTTGAGGGCTCCTCCGCTCTGATTTTCTGCCCCCTTTACTCAGCTGCACGTGCCCGCTGACCGTTAATAATAGTTGGTGGTATAAGCAGTCAAAGCTTAATTAAAAATGTGTGTGTGTGTGGGGGGGGGGGGGGGGGGCGGACCTGTAATTCCTGTTAATTTGTCGGATCGGGTGGGGTTTGAAAATTATGGCTATGGGCTGGGGTCGGATTTTTTGGATCCAAGTGCAACTCTAAGCCAAGTGTCTCATTAATACCGGTAGATAAAAGTGGCTATTAATGAGACACTTGGCTTGCCATACCAAGCCACCTTCGTCTCGCTCAGGAACTCTTGCAGCAAACATCAAATCAGCTGCATTTTGCCACGCCGCCCAGGCGAAATGCAGCTGATTTGAACATTAAAGTGCATTTATTAAGGAAAAGTTAAACTGAGACACACCTTTGCTATAAAGTCAAGCAAACAAATGTTATTAGGTGTTAATCTTGTTATTTTTGTTAAAATCCTCCCGTGCACACTCCCGCAGCTGCCATTTGGCAGCCAATCGATTTTTGGCACAACACCGGCCCACGTTTCCGAGTTGTCAGCGGTGACGCATAATAGATGCGACTTATACGGCAAAGCAACATATTTGTTTTTTCCAAACTTTATTAGACATATTTGAACTGATGCGACTTATTTGGTGCTGTGACATGTACAGCGGCAAGTACGGTACAATCAGTGCACAGATAAAAAAAATTTAAAAAAACTTGTAAAACATGTAAACTGATCAAATTAAGCCTGTAAAAGACCAATTTTTAAAGATTTAATAAAACAAGATCTCAAAGGTGTTTTACCTTTCCGCTGACGGTCCAGTCGTCAGAAAACTCCCCGTGGAAAACCGTGTCGTCTTCGGAAACCAACAGACCTGCACCCTGACAGATTAAAAAAAAAAACAATTTGGACTTATTTTCAGCTGATTACATTTCTGTATGTGCAAGAAAAACAAACACCGATTAAATATTTATATTTAAAAATGAACGTGTAAACATTATTTTTATCAAAGTTTTATTACCGGTAATTAATTTATTATAGTAACTGACATTTCTTTCCATCAATTTGAAGTAAATTATGGTCACGAATTATGCAGTTATCCCATCAGTTTTTATTAGAATTTTTGGCAGATTTTTTTTTTACAATACTGTCAAAGGTAAATTGGCTAAACTTGTGTGACAAACACTTAAAATGTCCAAAAGAAAATGAAAAAAATTCAGAGATAAAAAACAGAGATGCTACTTACATGATTAAATAATGTGGTCTAATCTTAGGATGTAGTCTATTAATAAAGTCAAATAATTTTAGTCATAGCTTTAATTTTTTATATTATTTTACATTTTGTTTATATTGTTGCACATCAACAATTGTTGGGAGGTGGCAAAGACAAAGCAGAGGGCGTACAATGAATTGTATGGGAGGCTGGACACTAAAGAGGGCGAGAAGGACTTGTACCGACTGGCGAGAGAGAGGGATCAGGCTGGAAAGGATGTGCAGCAGGTTAGGCTTGTTAAAGATAGGAAAGGCAATGTTCTAACAAGTGAGGAGAGTGTGACGGGAAGATGGAAGGAGTACTTTGAGGAGCTAATGAATGAAGAGAATGAAAGAGAAAGAAGAGTAGAGGTCATAAAAACTGTGGACCAGGAAGTGGGAAAGATTAATGAGGGTGAAGACTGGAAAGCTCTGAAAAGACTAAAAAAGTGAAAAGCAGTAGGACCTGATGACATACCAGTGGATGTTTGGAAATGTCTTGGAGAGATGACAGTTTTTGACTCAAATATTCAATGGCATATTCAAGGGTGAGAAATACCTGAGGAATGGAGAATGATAATAATAATAAGAGCTATGTGATGTCATCATTGTACGTTCCCCTACAATGGTGAAATTACTTCTCTGCATTTTACCCATTACACCTGGAATGCACCCAGGTGGAGCAGTGGGCAGCTATGCAAGCGCCCGGGGAGCAATTAGGGATTAGGTGTCTTGCTCAGAGACACCACGACATGTAGGAATGACTGGGGATCGAGCCTGGGACTTTCGGGTCTCGGGTCGGCTGCCCTACCTCTACCCGATCTCGGCCCCCAAAGAAAAAGTGTGCTGGTGGCTGTGCCCATTTTTTAAGAACAAGGGTGATGTACAAAGTTGTAGTAACTACAGGGGAATTAAGTTGATTAGTCACATAATGAAGATCTGGGAGAGAGTTGTGGAAGCAAGACTTGGACGAGAGGTGACTGAGCAGCAGTACGGTTCCATTCCAAGAAAGAGCACAACAGATGCCATATTTGCTTTGAAAATGCTGATGGAGAAGTACAGAGAGGGTCAGAAAGAACTCCATTGTGTCTTTGTGGCTTTAGAAAAATCATATGACAGGGTGCCAAGGGAGGAGGTTGGTATTGCATGAGGAAATCTGAAGTGGCAGAGAAGTGTGTTAGACTGGTACAGGACATGTATGAGGACAGCAGGACAGTGGTGAGATGTGCTGTAGGAGTGACAGATAGTTCAAGGTGGAGGTGGGAGTGCATCAAGGATTGTCTCTGAGCCCCTTCTTGTTTGCTCTGGTGATGGACCGACTAACAGATGAGGTCAAGCAGGAATCCCCATGGACTATGATGTTCGCAGATGACATTGCGATCTGTGACGAGAACAGGGAACAGGTGGAAGAGAACTTGGAGAGGTGGAGGTATGCACTTGAAAGAAGAGGAATGAAAGTCAGCTGCAGTAAGACAGAGTACATGTGTGTGAATGAGAGGGAGGCTGGTGGAACAGTGAGGCTACAAGGAGCAGAGGTCACAAAGGTGCAGGACTTCAAGTACCTGGGGTCCACTGTCCAGGAAAATGGGAGAGTGTGGTAAAGAGGTGAAAAAGAGAGTCCAGGCAGGATGGAGTGAATGGAGAAAAGTTTCAGGAGTGATTTGTGACAAAAGGGTGTCAGCAAAGGTCAAAGGAAAAGTTTACAAGACAGTGGTGAGACCAGTTAAATTGTATGGTCTGGAGACAGTGGCAATGACCGAAAGACAGGAGAAAGAACTGGAAGTGGCAGAAATGAAGATGTTGAGGTTCTCCTTGAGAATGACAAGGATGGATAAGATTAGGAATGAGATCATCAGAGGTACAGCACAGGTGGAACAACTGGAGATAAAGTTAGAGAGGCCAGACTGAGATGGTTTGGACATGTCCAGAGGAGGGACAGTGGGTACATTGGTAGAAGACGTCAGAAATGCAGCTGCCAAAAAAAAAAGACAAAGAGGAGATACAGTATATGGATGCAGTTAGAGAGGACATGGAGGTAGTTGGAATGAAGACAAAAAAGGCAAAGGTAAGAGTGAGATGGAGAAGGCTGTGGCAACCCCTGAAGAGGGAAAAGCCAAAAGAAGAAGATATAGTTGCACATCCAAACACTCGAGCGCTGAGCAGGTAGATATTTTTCGCTGCACTTACAGTCATCTTGTTTTCTTTGAATGCCCCTTCATAATAAACACCGTACTGTGTGACGACCACAGCGCTGCCATGCCGCTGGTCATCCAGCCACATTCCCATGTATTTCTCACCCCTAGGGGGGAACAAGACATTAAGGATCAATAAACCCAATCAATTTTAGCTTGCTAGCAATGCCCCTGGTCCACTAAAATACTTCAGATTTACTATCAATACAACTCTTCTTAATAAGGAAAATATGTCATTACTTTTGAACAACTACATCTTTCATAACACATTAAAGAAGGATTTTCACCGAAAACTTACTTGTGAGCTGTTTTTCAGGTTAATAACCTGAAAACTATTTCCTTGATGTGGCTAAATGTTTCTGTAAATAATGTTCTGCAGGTCTATTTCAAAAACTTTCCAAACTAAGACACAGTCAAGAAAACCTTTCTTGCGTCACGGTCCCACCAAGACGTATCCTCTACATGCTAAAGTTCTTAATTTTTTTCCCACGTTGTTCAAACATTTATTCAGACCTGGTGATGTCATCGTAGACCCCATATGCCGTCTTCTTATCGTGGACCCAGTGGCCGATGAAAACGCTGGAGGAGGTCTTGACCTGTTTACCAGAACTGAGCATGCCATAACCGTGACGCTGCCCGTCACAGAAACAGCCCTCGTACACCTCGCCGCTGGCATACCTGACATTAAACACAACATTAAACACCACAGACAGCACTTGTTAAATGTTAATAAGCAGACAACAGCAAAGCTTTATGTTTAATCAAAACAATCTGTTGTGGACACTTTATTACTGTATATAGCATCATTCTATATTTCTAACTGAGTCTGCTACTGCTGATTTTAACCACACACTTCTGATACTTAACATCAAACACATCTGGGATTCAAACAGGATGTCTCAGATGAGGACTCAAACTTTGTGGTGCTATTAAAATTATTTTAAACCAAACAGAAACTGACTTGTATTTGCCAAAGCCATGGATCTTGCCGTCTCTCCACTGTCCCTGGTAGATGTCTGGTTTGTCCTGGACTTTGTGAGGCATCACACACTCTCCATAACTGGAGAGAAAAAATAAAACACACAAACATTAAGACAGTTTCACAAAGTTGGTTTTCAAGCTGCAGAATTGTAGTTTTAAACATAGCAAAGCCTTTATTGCAGGGGTATTTAACTAAGTTGCTCAGGGGGCCACAGTTACTGAAAGCCAAGAGCTCAGGGGCCAGAAATCCAGCAATGTCATTAAGCTTGTTTTACAATTTCAAATCTAGTTTAATTTAAAAATGAACACATTGGTGGGCCGAACTGAGCTCACCAGTGGGCCTGATTTGGCCCCCGGGCCGCCAGTTGAATACCCATGCTCTATTGTTAGTTTTTGCAAACATTTATGTAAACGTTTTCTCTTCTTTTCAGATCTTCACTGTTGGAAATTAACATCCTATAAAATACAGACCCATCCTCCAGTCCGTTCTTAAAGTTTCCCTTGTACATTCGTCCATCTGGCCACTTCATGGTTCCTCTGAAAAAATAATTAGAATTGCTTTACTAACAATGTGATGTACCATTAATTTGCCATTTAGTAATTACAAACAGTGTACCGGTAAAAAAATAAGTTTCTTTGTTAAATTGTAAAACTGATCAACTAAAGCTTTAAAAAAAACATGTTTCTAAAGATTTGCACATAAACAGCTTACATATTTTTACTGATGAGTCCATTTAAAAGGTAAAGTCATCTCTGTCTAACCCCTCTGACAAAACACACTTCGGACTGAAAGCTTTAAATAATGATTGCTCAACTGACACACAAATGAACTTGAGCTAACAAAATTCTGATTACAGTCATCCCTCGCCATATTGCTGCTTCACTGTATCGCAAGTTATTTTAACTTGGTTTTTATATTGTGTGTACTGTACATTCATCTCATCGTCATCATATTCATCACCATTGACAAAGTGTTTAAGAGCATATGAAGTGTTTGTAAGAGACTGGGAATGTCATGATTCCTGTCTGTCCACCACGCCCCACTGCTCTGCTGTGATCAGGATAATTCTTCTCACTTGGTGGTCGTAGCATTTACGTGCTTCCCTTTTCTTTATCCGGTGCCAGATTATTGAAAGCCTTGAGGATGTAAATGTCCAGTGTCTCATGCTCCTGACTGATCCCCTCATCCTCACAAAGTTTCTGTGCCCTGGATTCTCCTGTTTCACCAGGCCATGATAATGTGCTGGAAGGGCGGGCTGGGTTGGTGTTGGGCTTTTGATTGTGTCAGCGGATTAGCCGTGATCCAATTATATGGCAACATGGCTTGCCATATATTCACCAGCCGCATGTGGCCATTTGACCGCGTGCAGACCGGCCTTGAAAGAGGTAAAATAAAGTTCAGTTAAGCTTCAGATGAGACTATCGGTACTGCCAGTGCCAAGAAGCGATTCATCGCCCAAATGGACGTTCATTCAGCCGCTGCACTTAGCGGATGCGTGTGGCCGACGACCCAAACAGGTGAGATCCCAAAGCAGATATGTCAGAGCAGGGTCTGTGTCTGAATAATGCAGAATGCAAGCAGAAGCAGTGATTTAATGCGCTTTGACGGCCATGAAAGGACAAACACCCCTCAGCTCCGATCTTCTGCTCCTTTGATTCAACCATGTGCGTCCACCGACCGTTAATTACTATACAAACAGTCAAAGCTTAATTAAAAATTTCTGGCTTTTTTTTCGGGTTCGGACCTGTAATTACTGTTGAGTCGGGTCGGGTGGGGTTTGGAAATGATGGCTACAGGCTGGGCCGAGTTGGACTTTTTGGGCTCAAATGCAACTCTACCGACCTCCGAGTATTGCCTGAACCTCAAAGAAGTAGTTTGAAGCGTCTCCCTGTATGACCTTTGACTGTTCTCTCACTACCCCACTGAGTTCTGGATGGATCCAAACGAAGCAACAACCCCACTCAGGACTCTGATCTCGTGGTGACGTCATTACTCTCTCCATCCGCCCCAATCCTCTACATGGGGAAGCGAGTTTAACCGCTGGATCAAGTCCCCTGCCTGATATGAGCTCTAAAAGAAGGTTAGTGGGTTTTTCTCGGAACTCTGTTCACACTCCCAGTCCTTCCACAGCCATTATCCTCTCCCTCCTCAGACTTTCCAGTGCATTTCCACAGATGTGTGTTGACTCCCACCAGTCTGGTTGAATTTTCAGGTCCTCTGCTAAATTCAATGCAGGGAAAGGTTAATAAGAGAGTGATGGAGGTTTGCAGGAGTGTGGGAAGAGTTTATAAAGCCTTAATATATATAAATGACAACATGGTAGTCTCTGGAAAGTAACCCCCACGATAGGTGAGGGATCACTGTGTAAAATTTTGTATAAGAGCAGCAAAGATAATACACATTTTAGTTTTGTACAGTCTCAATGAGCAGAGGATTGGTGGTTTCCAGCAGATTTCTATTAACAACAACAACAACAACAACAACAACCCCCAAAACAAAAATAACTCATCTGCCCTCTGACCTGCCATGAACCCGTCCTGCCAGCCAGCTTCCTGAGTACTGAGCGTCTCTGAATCTTTCATCTACGGTGAAGGTGTAGGTCGCCGTGCGGGACATTGCTGTGACCCCTGGAGATGCTACCTGACCTCCACCACCCAGCACCTGATCCACCGCCTGGTTGAGGGCTCGAAGCCATTTGTTCTGCAGAAAAACAAAAGGGTCAAACTAAGGGAATAGAAGACACTAATGAGGAATCAAATGAGAAAAATAAACACCTTTTCTTGTGGTGTTGAGGCCACCAGGGTAAAATTTTCCTCTGGACATGTTATTTTTAGGGCGTAGCTGAGAATTCACAAATAAAGCATAACAATTAACTTATAATTTACAGTTTTGATGTGTTAAACAAACATGTTGGGTGGGTAAATTGAAAAACAAGCACCAAAACAACAGTCAAATAATGGTAAAAGGTGCAGAAGTTCCTCTGCAACAGACACTTAATCAAAAAGAGCCATTTTACTGTAAAACTGAAGAGAACATTTGGCTTTTCTGGAATCAATTTAGCTTTTTTTAATACATTTGTTGATGCAAAACTGTGTATATATAATATTGGAAGTTGTATGTTTCATTACTGCATCAGGTTATATGGCAGCTGCAGGTTTGCTGCTTTTTCATTTTCAGTTTTATCGATGGACAAAATAGAAAGGACCTGCAATTTTTTTTTATTTTTATTGTAAACCCAAAAAGAAGGATTTACAACTAGGCCTGTCACGATAAAAACATTTTGCTGGGCGATTAATTGTCTCAGAAATTATTGCAATAAACAATAATACTGTTTGAAATTTAACAATAATTAATTGTCAAATTTTAGAAGAAATGTTGATTTGTTTGGAGTGTAGTACCTTTTTTGGACCACTTGATGGCAGTATAAAACTGTTTGAATCAAAGCGCCTCTTTAATAAAATGGGATGGAGGGCTCTGCCTTAACCTGACATGGTCTGACATGGTGAACGCACAGTGGCTTGAGCTCTTTAGCATAGCATTTTTCACACAAAGCTTTTAATTAAAAAAAAATTAAAAAATAAGTAAACAAGTTCTAAGCTTCTTTTTGGGAAAAAAAACAACTTTTTACATGAAGGCACGGGTTTCAACCATGAATTTTGGAGCTCGACAAGACGGAGATTTATTCCCGAGGTCGGCCTGTTAGCGTAGCTCATAGCTTAGCTTCTTAGCTTAGCTTCTTAGCTTAGCTGCTTTTAACGATCCAAAAACGCAATTTTGGACAGTTAAAACAGATTTTAAAGAGAAAATAGAAAGGGAGGGGTCAGTGAAGAACACCGGAGTTGAGCCGTGTCTTCAGTAGAAAGAGAGAGACACGAAGAAAGGATAAAGATGGTAAATGAAAATGAGGTCGATAATTTTCATTCATCATGTGATTAATTGATTTTTAAGGGGAGTGGTGGTGCAGAGGTTAGAGAACGTGGGCCTGTGATCGGAAGATCGCTGGTTCAAGCCCCGGTACCGACAACATCAAAAATGTGGGTGGGGTAGGTGAAGCACCCACACCTGCCCCTACCCTCATTCATCCCACTCTGGGCCCTTGAGCAAGGCCCTTAACCCCCACCATCTGCTCCTCCGGGTGTCCTAGATAGCAGCTCTCTGCTCCACACAGAGGGCTGTGGTAGCTCGGTGTTCTGTGGTTGCGTCAGGAAGGGCATCCTGCGTAAAAATAATTGCCAAGTCTTCGTGTGACTTAGTTCGCTGTGGCGACCCCTAAAGCAGGGAGCAGCCGAAAGAAGAAGAAGAAAAAGTGATTAATTGATTTATTGTTTATCGCGACAGGTCTGTTTACAACACAGGCATCTAAAGGTTTATTCAGACTGGTTATTTAAAATGGATTTTAGCTATCTGATTGTGATTGGATAGCATTAAAAACAGATCTGAATCTTTTCAACGTGTACAGAAAATATTCCCTCAGACCACCAGTCTGTCCTGATCCTCGATGCAGGAACTCCTACTGCTCGGGCGTCAGCAGAGTGCACGGCTCCTCAGGGCAAAAAGAAAATGACTGCTCAGCTGCTGGCTGATTAAAGGTAATTAAGAAGGCTCTAAAATGGCTCTGAACTGTGTTAATGTCAAAATAACAAGAGTTAAGCTGCATGTGCTGTAATTCTGCAGAAACATCCGCAGCCCTGCTGATGCGCTGCTTGTTGCAGAACTCTGATGGTTTCTGTTTCTATTAATGCCACATTTCCAGTTTGAATTTCTACGACAAACTCACAGTCCGCTGCTGTCGTCAGTAACTGGTTTGATCCACAAACAGCTCAGAGGAAAGACGCGATGTGTGGAGAACTGTGAAAAGACAATTCAACAAAAAGAGGGAAGTTACATTATTTCTTAAATTCTCACATTAGGAAATATCTATTCAGAGGTTACTTCAACCAGACTGCCTGAGTAACCGATAACCAATAGATTTCATTCAGTTATTGCCTAAAATAGGTTTTTTTTTTTTATTAGTTTAGGGAAGTTACAAAGAAATCCACAAGCATACTTTCAGTTTTACACTAAAATACGTGCTTGAGAAAGTTACACGAGATGAATCAGATTAAGAAAACCTACTTTAAGACTTTCTCATAAAGATTTTATGACTCTTGTGGGAACTGTCTACATCATTTGAGAATAAAAATTACATGAATTATGACCATGCTCTGCAAAACTGGTAACAAGAAGTCCTGCAGTAACGAAATATTAGCAACATTTAATTTATTTTTGAACACGAAAGCATAAACTTTTTAACTAACCCACCAAATGAGAACTTTAACTTGTAAATGAGAATAACTTGGATGCTTTTTGATGTTAATATTTATTTAAAATCCACTATAAATTCTACTTCAGTGATGTAATTGACAATGCAGCACATGCGCTCAAAATCTAAAAGAAAAAGACAAATGTGTAAAATATTTTTGTCTATCAACACATCAAAGTGAAACAGAGACCTAAATAGTCGGGGTCTCTAAAGTGAACTACCAGAAGCAGACAAAATATCAAAACACATCTGTAATGAAACAAGATAAGATCTGTGGTAAAATCACTTGAAAATAAAAAATAAGCCATGCTTCGCCGTCTTGTTTTATCCAATCTGAACTGAAAAGTGTAATCAGATTACATGTATTCCACAAACAGAAAGATAAACTCCAGAAAGGCATCTTTAAGAAAACATTACTAAAGTGGAAAATAAATTAAAACAAAAACCAAAGGAGTGCCATCTTCAAAAATTTGAAATGTGAGAAAATGACATTAAATATCAGCAATACTGAATAAATACACAAATAGATTCCCAGTGTTTTTCAAATCATTGCTTATATGAAAGAACTGCTTGCCATATTTGCATCTCTCGTCTCCTTCAGCTGCTGTGGAGGTCTTTAGCTTCTGAAAGTTAATCTGAACCAAGCATGTTTGTTTGATGTAAAGTTTAGATAAGATTTTTCTCTGCTTCTTTTCTGTTGGAGCTGTTAAATTCAGTTTTTAATTCAATTCAGTATATTTATATAGCGCCAAGTCACAACAGAAGTCATCTCAGAGCACTGAACAGAAACATTCATATATAAAAATAATAATTTAACACTATTTATTTATGAGGAGCTGACTGCTTTGAATTTAACTACATCACAGATCTCTCATCTTGAGCAAGCAGGAAGGCAAAAGTGCAAAGGAAAAACTCCCTCACGAGGAATAAACCTTTAGCAGAACCAGGCTCAGGACAAGCGGACATCTGCTTCGACTGGCTGGTTTTGAGAGGAACAGGAAGGAGGAACCGATACATAATGGCAGGTCAAAAATCACTAGATAGAAATACAGTATCAAATGAAAACTATTCAATTTTACCTAGGAAATTAGGTAAATTTGTCCTAGGGGAGTGGTGGCGCAGAGGTTAGAGAACGTGGGCCTGTGATCGGAAGATCGCCGGTTCAAGCCCCGGTACAGACAACATCAAAAATATGGGTGGGGTAGGTGAAGCACTCACACCTGCCCCGACCCTCATTTGTCCCACTCTGGGCCCTTGAGCAAGGTCCTTAACCCCCACCATCTGCTCCTCCGGGTGTCTTAGATAGCAGCTCTCTGCTCCACACAGAGGGCTGTGGTAGCTCAGTGGTCTGTGGTTGCGTCAGGAAGGACATCCGGCGTAAAACAACAACTGCCAAGTCTTTGTGCAACTTAGTTCGCTGTGGCGACCCCTAACGCAGGGAGCAGCCGAAAGAAGAAGTAGAAGGTAAATTTGTCCTCTAGTAGTCTAAGTCTATAGCGGCATAACAAGCCAACCCTAACTATAGGATTTATCAAAAAGGAAAGTCTTAAGCCCAGTCTTAAAACTGGACAATGTGTCAGCCTCACGGACAGAAACTGGAAGTTGGTTCCACAAGAGAGGAGCTTGATAAAAGAAAGATCTTCCTCCCATTCTGCTTCTAGAAACTCTAGGAACTGCGAGTAAGCCTGCAGTCTGAGAGCGAAGTGCTCTGTTGGGAAAATATGGAACAATAAGATCTCAAATATAAGATGGAGCTAGGCTGTAGTTAGCAAGATGCAGTTAAATAAAACATCTGTTCAATGTACTCATCCAAAAACTTTGTACTGAACAGTCACAATACAAATACACGCACCGTTACCTGCAAATAGCTGGTTTTGTACATACATTTCTTGTCTTTGTGTGTGTGTGTGTGTGTGTGTGTGTGTGTGTGTGTGTATACCTGCGTGTGCACCAGAATGTCACTGAACAGTATGAACCCGTGACTGGAGAACCGGCCGGCGTTCTGAAGGGTCAGAGATCGGTTGCTGCTTTCACAAACCATGCGGCGCTGCGGAACGCGCAAAGATTCCTAGAATTTAAATTAAAATAAATAAAACTCCTGTCAGTTCAACAAGCTCTCGAACCAGGGAAGTTAAGTCTTTACAGTGAGACGTCACAGAAACACAACCTGCATCAATAACCTCAGAGACATTCATTCAAAAGAAAAAAAAGTTCAGTTCAAAAACAACTGGACATTATTTGTAACAGAAGACGTTTCGCTCCTCATCCGTCTTCTTCTTCAAACGGCTTCTGTTACAAATAAAGTCCAGTTGTTTTTATATTGAACATTTTTTGAATTTATCATGTCCTGGATGACTGAGAATCTTCACCAGCAAACCTCAGCTACAGCTATCTGCTAGTTTCACACAGGTTTATTCGGCAAAAAAAACAAAAGATGGTGCAGATAAGATCAGAATTTGGACTTTACAAATAATTAACTGTGACAGAACAATTAAGCAGTGAAACAAATTCAAAATGAGAAAAACTATGTTTTGGAAATACAGTAGTCCCTCGCTACTTCATGGTTCGACCTTCGAAACTCGCTCTTTTGCAGTTTTTCAAAGATGATACACAATTTTTTTTTATATACAACACGAGTGTCAACTTTAATATAACTCAGGTAATCAGAACATTAAGGGATGCTGTACAGTAAAAAGTTAACAAAAAATAAAATACTTCAGACAGGCACCTCCATTTTGTAGTTTTCTCTCAATAAGCCTATACTGTATCCCCGCTCATAACGACTACATTTCCCAGAAGTCAACAGAGCCCCGCCCAGAAGCCCCGTTGCCCTCTGGTGAAATATTAGAGGGAAAGTTTTGATCTGATCGGAAAAAGCTAGGGGCTTATTCATACAGTGACTTTGGCATCCAGAGGATGCAGAACCGGACCCCCAGACTCGTCGATGAACCCGAGGGCTGCTAGCCGGCCCACGAGGACCTCAGAGCAGGGACGCAACACTGTAAGTCATGCCTCTCTCCGGAGCCCAGAGTTTAGAACATTGTGGGCTTTGTCGCTGCAGGGCAGGTCTGTAGAAACAGAACCGAGTCAGACCGGAACCGAGCAGAACCAAGAGCTACTGCTGTTCTGCAGAGAAGGTGAGTAAAATTTAGTAGCTACATATACGTATGTTGTTAAAATTACATGTTTAAGAGTTTAGAACATTGCAACAGTGTGGGAAGGGTTTCTAAAGCCTTAAAATACATATAAATACTAAAATAATATAACGTCCCTACTTCACGGATTTTCACTCATTGCGTGCGCGGGGGGTGGGGTCTGGAACGTAATCTCCACAATAAACAAGGGACTACTGTAGTGATACGCTCTCCAAACACAAAAGTAGACAAAAAGCAGTTGTGTTTACAACAGGAGTTGTTCTCACAGTATTTTTTCCAGAGTGGCTTTTCCAGAACATGAATGTGTTCTCAGCTTCCTTCTTTTTCCTCAGCAGAGACAGAGACAGAGTTTCGTACTGACTGAAGCCCTGATGGAGGAACTGATACTCCACAGTGAGCTGGGGAAAAGGTGAACAGCATTTTAGAGCAAACACAGCTACATTAACACCAACACAGGAACACAGGTGAGCCACAAAGCGAGAAGTATTCACCACGTCATAGCAGGCGGTCATTTTGAGCAGGACTCGGTTATACTGGTGGAGCTGCTGCAGAGGCCAGTGGAACATTGAAACCAGATCAACGTCGCCGCTGATGGACGGGTCCCATACGTTCAGCTGAGAGAGCAAAGCCTGCTGATTGCCCAGACTCTCCCTGAAGAAAAACACAGGCACAGAGATTACACTCTTAGACCTGAAACCTCATATGCTTACAGTTTGTTTAGGAAAAAAACAAGAAGGTTTAAATGACGTTAAGACCAATAACAACAGAGAGCCTTTTAATCTGCTAAAGACCGCTTTGTCCTTTCTCTGGAGTGAGCAATAAAAGCAGAACTCTTTCAGTAGTGCATTTAAAATGAAAGCACTCACAGTGAGAGTTTATGAAGCAACTGGAACCCACCCATCACTTGGAAGTCACCAACTGCAGAACAATACCTATAAAAAGATGCAAAAGACATCTGGATTTGTCTTTCACTTCTCAAAACAGATGCAGTGAAGAAAAGCCAACCTAACTGATGCACGATGGACCTTTTACACTGCATCAAAATGGCAAGTTCAGAGCATCAGTCACTGAAATAGATGGCCAACCATGGAGCAGATAATTTGCTAATGAGGAGAGCAGTTAATGCTGCCATCTTGGTAGGTGCTACATTAGTTACTGTCAGCAGACCGATACATATCCGAGGTAAAAAGTCAAGAAGCCCAATGATTTGCCACTAGCTGTTATAATTATTCAAACCTGCATTGCAAAGAATGTTGTATCGTTAAATGTAATTATCAACACTGAATGCAAAGCTTTAGTTAGTCAGACATGTAATGTACTTATTTACCTAAAATGTAGTTATGTTCTGCTCTGGCTAGACTGATTACAGTACTACCAGCAGATTATTTTAATCTGAGTATTGCACAGTGTTGTCATTTTGCCCACACTAACGCTCGACCAGGCATGGTGGGTGGCTCATTACAGTATATACACCTGTTCCAGTTTCACAATATGCATGATATACGTGTATCCAAGTAAAATAAGGCTATTTGTAAGCGTTTTGGTCTGACGACACAGCATACAGTACAGCACGAAAAAGATGCTGACAATATGTGGCATTAAATGTGTAAGAAGTGATAGAAGTAGCACCTAGCAAGATGGCGACCATACATCTTATCTGGCGCCATCTGTGGCTATTCCACTGAAGGCACTAGATGAGTATTTTTATTTCTGTAGTTTTAATCATCCGACAAAATAAATTAAAAAAACAGTTTGCAGAGAAAATATCATTTTTAACATAAAATGTAATGTTTAGATTTATAATGTAGGAAAAACATGAGAATATTTGTTTATTACTGTGCCAAAACAAGAGCTTACCTTCTGTATGTGTCCTGGAAATGATCTGTGTGTGTCAGCAAGGGAAAGGAAGTGACGTCACGGCTTCGCGCATCATACAGGAAGTAGCTGAGGGACGTGGCATGACGACCCACCAGGGAGCTCAGGTGAGCACAACTCTCATAAAGAGAGAAGAAGAGCTGGGTGCACGGGTCTCCCAACACCTGACAAGCACTCTCTACACACACAAAAACAGGCTCAGTTCATGCTTGTGCTGTATTAGTTTTGCGTTATCGTGTAAATTTAGACAGGCACCTCTTTTACGCAGCGGCGTGAGAAGAATCCTCCTGAAACTGCTCAGCCAGCAGTAAAACCGTCTCTCGCTGGAGGCCAACTCGTGAATGGCTGCGATAAAACCCTTCACATTCAGGTCCGTCAACGCTGCACACATCTGACCGCCGCTGCACACACTGCTGATGTAACCCATCTACGCAAAAATACAGACGTAATACCATGACAATGATTAGGTTATAAATTCTGAGCTACAGGTTCAGCTCAGAATTTATGTTAAAAAACAGCTCAAGTGACTCAGATGGAAAAGTTCTCCTCCCGTAGTTTCCCATCAAAGTGGATTTGGGTTTTTGACCCACAAACCTCAATGCAGAAGGGCAGCAGGGAGGGTCTGACTGAGTAACTTTCCGCCCGGTTCGGTGAGCTCAGGCACGAGCTTCGGCTCGGCTGAGATCGTTGCTGCTGGCCGCAGTACAGCAGCGCCGGCTGGACGCAGTCACCATCAGCCAGGAACAGGGAGTGGCTCTGACCGGCTGACAGATCCCAAACACGAAGGCCATCAGACAGCTACGGCAACAAACGAACAAAGAAATGAAAATAAAAATACACAATTTAACTTGAAGGTTCATCATTTTCTGTGAAAATGCAGACAGAGATGTTCGTGCTGGTGTTCGGCGTATTGTTTTTATGCTATTAGTGTTTAGCGTATTTTTAGTTGATGTTTTTCTTAGTTCATATCTTAGATCTTATTACTGTTTTTCTTTTACATTTTATTATTGGATGTAACTGGGACCCTGTGTACAAATTTCTTTCCACCACATGTACCACATGTGGTGCGAATGACAAATAAAGAAACTTGTGAAAGACTTGGTTTAGGTATAATAAGCAGAACAGAGCAAAAACAGTGGCTAAAAGTTCAAATTAACAAAACAAGCTAAAAACTAAAATTAGTAAAACCCTAGCTAAAAGATTCAATTATAGAAATTGTAGCTCAAAACTAAAAGTTTGAATTAATTAAACTAGCTAAAATGATCAAAACCAAAGCTTAAAATCAACTTAAGCAAAACTGTAGATCAAAACTCAAACAAGCTAAACAGTAGCTCAAAGCTAAGTTTAGCAAAACCATAGTTCCAAGTCAAAATACCCAAAATTGTAGATCAAACCTAAAATAAAGAAAATAGTAGCTAAAATCTGGTTATAAAAACATAGCTAAAACTAAAATTAGAAAGACTGTAGCTAAAAGCTAAGAGTAGCAAAAGACAAAAAAAAAGAAAAGATCTCATTCAATTCAATTCAGTTTATTTATATAGTGCCAAGTCACAACAAAAGTCGTCTCAGGATCACGTAATTGACCAGCAACTATTTTCTCTAGAATTTTTGAGATGAAAGTTAGATTAGATATAGGTCTATGTCTAGGATTCCTGAGTCAAGGTTATGTTTCTTAAATAAAGGTTTAATTACAGCAATCTTAAAGCTCTGTTGTACGTAACAGTTTATTAAAGACAAATTAAGCAGATCCAAGACGAGGTTATTAATTAAAGGAAATACGGCTTTAAATAACCTGGTTGGGATGGGATCTAGCAGACATGTGGATGGTTTGGATGAAGCTATTATTTTGGACAATTCAGAGAGCTCAACAGGACCAAAACACTCCGAACATAAATCAGGTTCTAGAGACATTTTTAAAGTTGTCTCATCTGACACAGAACCAGAGGCGACACTAGGAATGTTGGATTTTTTTCCCCTAATTGAAACAAATGTATTTATAAAGAATCATTGTATAGTAAATATCTGCAAAAAACAGGTCAAAGCGTTCTCCTTCTGGTTGAGCTGAACGTTTAAACATATGAACAGCTACAATACCTCAAAAGGAGCATTAGTAAAGTTAGATTTAAAAAAAAAAACATACAGAAAAATAAAAGCAGGAGAGCAGCATGAGACTGACTCAGAGTTCACACAGTTAGGCAGTCTTTACCCGAGGGTGAACACTCCCCTCACTGTCTGCTTCATACACATAACTGCACGGTGCAGTCACTACTTCAATATGTCCGTCTTGTACTAAAAGAAGTAAAACACAAGCAGAGTGTGAGTAGATCATCAAACCTTCACCTGCTGTGGCACGGTGACGGGACTGTTGACGTGACCAAGCTGCCCACACATGTTACTTCCCCACGAGTAGACCTGCAGGACACAAGTAGTTGTGTGTGAATACAGGAGTGCTAACACACCTGTTTTAAAACATGTTTGACTTTTTGATTTTAACAAAATAAAAGCTCAGACTTTTACACTCAGGTTTACAGACAACAGAGACATGAAGTGGTGTTTAAAGAATGAATTCAGAAGGTTTAGTTGAAAAACAGAAAGGGCAAATTAGGTAAATCGATGCAGAATCTTGTATTCACATGCCGTGAATCTGTTACCTGACACTGAGCAGTGAGAGCCAATGAATGATGCGACCCTGCAGAAACTTTGATCACTTCCTGGCCTGTCAGAGACTTGATCCACAGAGGCTGAAGTCTACACACAAATACAGATACAGAAAAAACATGTGAGGATGGTAGACTCTTTTTCCAATCTTTCTGTATGTACCTATAGCTACAGGGCTTGGAGTATCTGTTCTTTTTAAAGGTAAACTGAACAGAATATTCTTTAAAAACAAACAGCTTCATATAAATAAAAACATAATCTGAATCCAATAATGGTCATTCAGGTCATCTGGACAGTTTTTTTGTGGAAAGACGTTTCGCCCTCTATCCGGAGGGCTTCATCAGTCTGAGGAGTCCCAAGTAAACTGTTTTCCCCACTAAGCAGTACACTCCTTTAGTGGACCAACCAGCTTGCTGGTGATAAGATGGTTTCTGGGGGCTGTCCTGTCCCCCGTCGACTCATCGCTGGCAGGCAGCCACAGTCAAAGTGGTTCAAGACATCAAAGTTCATGCTCAATCATCCAGGTACAAAATCCAATATCTGTCCAACGACCTGATTGACCATTATTGGATTTTGTATCTGGATGATTGAGCATGAACCTTGATAATTATGAATTATTTTTTCTATTTCTTCAATTCAATTCAATAATACTTTATTAATCCCAAAGGGAAATTAAATGCTGTAACTCATTATGCTAGTTTTAATGAGATGTTATAGATACTGATGGCTGTAGGCAGGAAGGATCTCTTGTAAAGGTCCGTCCCACAGTGGATCCGAAGAAACTGGCCACAGATTCTGTCTGATCCGTCCACCCAGACTTGGCTGGCCTCTCGGTTCCCCCGGGCTGCAGGACCGTCCGAATACCGGGCAGAACTCCTCCCAGAACAATGGCCACGCCTTCCAGCAGCCTGCCGAGCTCCTCGTCGCTGCAGACAGCTAGCTGCAGGTGCCGGGGGATGATCCCAGTCCTTCTGCTGTCACGAGTCACTTTTCTTGCCAGTTCCAGGATATTTTTAGGAGATCTTAGGATCTCAGTGGTCAGGCACATGAGCACAGCCATCAGGTAGACGGGAATGCATCTACGGAGCCTTCTTTTCAACTCATTTGAGATTTGGGGCTGTAGTTGAGATATATGAGCTTTTGAGATGTTAATCAGCTGCTCCCAGTTGTTATAAAAACACCTTGTTGCCATGGTTTCACATAATAACAAATGTCCAAAAGTAAAAAAGTTTCAGTAAAAATCTTTCCAGCTGCACAGCATCTGATACCAGAGGAAACAATCACCCAAAAAAAGTGATTTATATCAAGAAAAACAGGAATTAAAGTTTCCAAAAGCAAAATCTCAGAATGAATATGATAGAGCTACTCCAACATGCAGCCACCTCAAGCGGCGCAATTCTAGTATTCAAGAATATAAATATAATGTGTGTGTGTGTGTGTGTGTGTATATATATATATATATATATAAATATATATATATATATATATATATATATATATATATAAATATATAT